TTTTAAAATATGATTATTTCTCTGCTCCTAGTTCATTCCTCTCAGATTCTTCAATCAGTCCCAGTCATTGCATGTCAGTCAATAGAGCTTCGAAAAATGTGTCAAATTCAACAAAAAATGTTTTGTGAGTGAAGGCCAGAGCTAAATTATAGATGGTTTGATTGTGTAATTACAAGGTGAGAGAAAAATAAATCCACATCCTCCTATGAAACGTATTTTATTTCCTTTTCCATGTTATATTTATACTTACTTGCATTAGAACATTTGCATGTTGAACTACATGCTGGATATCTCCCCCAGCCTCAAGGAAATACAATACAATAAATTGATTCATAATTTTTTTTAAATCATAAAAATGTATAAATTAATAATGTTGTGTGCAAACATTTCAAATTTAAATATGAAATGAAGTTTACTTTTGAAATGATTTCTCACAAAAACCTTTCGAAATTATAGTAAATTATTAAAAAAGTTTTAGTCAATATACGTTTTTCTGCCTAAAATAGTTGAATGTAAACTATATCAAACACCACATGCATGGCAATTAACCCATTTTTGCCCGCTATTTAAATTGGCTTTGGTTAGTTAATACAAATATTGATATAATATATATATAGCATATAATTGATGCAGTCTTTCTGAACACTTTTTAAAAAAAAATCTGCACAGAGAGTACTTACAGCAGTTGAAAAGATTTGTGAAAGGATACATTATTCATGAGCTTCCATGGCTCTAGTATGGGTGTTTTATTGTTGCTTGTATTATCCTCAGATAGTGATTTGTTTAAATAACTAGTGACATTTTAATAAATATTGCAAAAAAGGGCTCCAAAAAAGGCATATATAACCTGGCCGGCTTAGCCAGTGTGTATTTCTTCAAGCACCACAAGATTCATAGTTTATAAAGTACAATTCTGGGCCATTGATTGTGTCATTTCTCCAAACACATACAGTAAAAAATGCCTGTTTTGAAGCCTTAAAATGGTGCAGGAAAAGGACTTTACATTGTATTATACTTAAAGACAGGGCTATTCAGTTAAGAGAAGAGAAAAAGGAAAGCAAATTGTTATAATGGGTGATTTAACATTAATGACAAACATAATATGAGGTCCTTGGCACTCAGACTCTAGAGGGTCATGTTGTGATCATGGGGCATCGCATCACCCTTACTGCATCAGGACAATATCATATGGAGTCAGACACTGGAAGTGTGCTGGAGGCGTTGACTGGGACTGATGGAAGGATGAGGCTGATGAGACTGAAGAATCTGCGAGGAACGAATTAGCGGCAGAGGAATAATTATATAGTAAAAGACAGCAGCTTCATAAGAGGCCAACCATGAGTGTGTCAGTGTGCTGAAGGATAGACGAGCTATCCAGGCCAGACTCCAAAGACTTTCCAAGGTGTAAAATGCTGCTGCCGGAGTACTGACTGGAAATATTGCTGATATCATGTCTACCATCCTCTTAAAATACTCTGTCCAACAATATCAGTCTCATGAAGAAAGGTTTTTTAACGCTTATTAAAAATAGCAGAGAAACATGCATTCTTGTACTCGGGAGGGGATATTAACAGAGGATTGTTGGAAAAGTACACAGCAAGTGTTGTGGAAATATTTTCCAAGGCCCATAACTTTGACCCAGTGTATCAGTTCAAACTGTCCTGACTGAGCACAGGCACCTGTAACCTTGGCTGCTGTGCTCTCAGTGTTTTGTCTCCCTGTTCCTGCCTGTTGGCGTCAGCTGATAGAGGTGTTATCATTCTATCTTGTTATGCAGCATGTTGATGATGCTCTCTGAGCTAGCTAAATACATGGGTCTGGGGTAGAGTTCTTCAGAATTGACGTGGCAACTCTACCGTGAAGTCAGAACCTCTGACTCTTGGACTTGTGATGTGAATCCTCCGGCCGTAACTCCAAATAAACCATCATGTGTTTGACATCAAAGCTACTGCTCTTCCCGTGTCTCCTTCCTGAGTCGGTGACTCCCACTGCATAGCTACACAGAAGTTTCCTCTACAGCAAGTACTTCATAGTACTTGTGGGGGTAGTTTCACTAGTACTGAGTCCAACAGGATCAATCTCACGAAGAACTAATGGCAACAAAAAAGAATTCCCTCATCAAACTTAGCAGAAGTGGCTTGATTTTGTTCTCAGCGGGGGACTTTGACAGAGTATTTCTCAAAAAATACACAGTAAAAGTACTTCAATGTATTGTAAGTAGTAGGCTAATACAAAGTCAAACAGTATCAATTTCATTAAGAACTAATGTTAAAATTATATTTTTTATCATTCATCAAAGACAGCAGAAAACATGCATAATAGCCTACTATGGAGGGGACTCTGACAGAGGATTACTCACAAAGTACACAGTAAAAGTACTTCATTTTATTTCTGGTAGACGTCAAACTAGAACTGAGTCCAACAGTGTCAGTTTCCTTAAAGATCAAATGCAAAGCTTCCAAATATGCTACATTTTTATAGAAATGTTGTTTTTAAGACTGCCTGTATTTTTTATTTGATTTAAATCGAGATAATACACCCAAAAAAAAGCTTTTTATTGATCCAAAACTCGACCCAAAGCCGTCTGAATTTCTGACATGTAATTCCCAGCAGCCTCCGCGCGCGTGACGTAATAGTGGCCAAACAGTCTCTGGACCAAATATCCCGACTCGGCAGTCTCGGTCACATGTTTTTCGAAAAGAAAACTGAATTAACATGGGTTATTTTTGAGCTTTTTGTTGTACGAACGGTGCGGGATCTGGGAGAGTTTTACATGCATTTCCCAAAGACCAAATCATCCGCAAAAAATGGATTTTTTTAGTGAATCGTGTTGGCTGGCAACCGACAAAATGGAGCAAGTTGTGTTCTGACCACTTCGCGTGTGATGCATACGACGTTGATCCTGCTATCATGAAGTCTGTTGGTGGAGAAGCATTAATAGCACGTCGGAGGCTGAAACCCGGAGCCGTCCCCTCCATATTTCAGCACAAGAAACCACTGAAAGAACGAAAGAGCCGGGCGATGCAGAAACGCCAAAGAATTGAGGTAAACAACTTTTGATTAGATTTCAAAGCGCACGGAGCACAGCAGATAACGCAGATAACGGAATTGCAGTTTTATTGCTTATAGAGGTGGGCACCGTTAGATTCTGTGTCTTTACGATCATAAACAATGTGTTGGATGTGGAGCTAGGATAAGTAATAAGGGCGCTAGAAGTGATAGGTTAGCATTTTTCGCTCGGGGCTAATTCACTGTTAGCATTGTAGTTTATCTGCAGCTCATTCATCGCTCCTCCACTCATAACGGAAAATGTCGAACGTCCTACAGTCGGTGATGCGGACTTCTTCTCCCATCTCTTCCTTCACTTTCCCATAGTTGTGGCAGCACTTGTTTGCTCGGCTTGTATGCATGGTCTGGCAGTTTCCACATCTACACCAATTCTCAGCACCCTCGGCCTCTTCCTCAGATGGCGAACTTGAATCATCGCCATCAGCATTTTCATCGGTGATATCAGGTGACGTTTCCTTGTATTTCCTCTTCGACATCAGAGGCTCGTATAGATATGGTTGGATGTCGACAACATACTCCAGATATTGGGTGGCCTCCGACTCAGAATCAGACATGATAGACGAAACTAAGTTGTACTATCGGCGGAAGCCGCTGCGAGCATTTTTCGCTCGGGGCTAATTCAGAGGCTCACTCAGAGCGCCTGGACTTTATTTTTCTAAACCTCTCTAAAAAGGTCAAATTTCACTTGTTTTGCATCAATCTTGATACAGGGTACTTATTATATGTTATAGTTTGGATTCCTAAAGCTTTTAGTCTATAGTCTACTCAGAATCAGACATGATAGACGAAACTAGTTGTACTATCGGCGGAAGCCGCTGTGATTGATAAGCCAGGTGGAAATATGTTTGGCACATCTGACGTCACGCGCCGCCATCTTGCGGAGGAGCGGCGGAGAAATAAATCGTCGGACTTGGTGTTGGGGGTTGAACAAAAATTAATATTGCGCATTGCCAGACTCATATTATCTCCGATTGTAATACTGCAATATCTTAGATAGTGTTGTAGCTATATGATTTCGATTGTACTGGCAATTATACAAAAAGCTTTGCATTTGATCTTTAAGAACTTGTGGTAACAAATATGTGTATCACTCGTCAAATATAGCAGGAATAATGAAGAGCAGCTGATTTGAAAAAACAAACTCGAGAGGCGGCTGAGTGACCGAAGTGCAGAACCGCTGTATAGTTTAAATCTCCTAACAATGTTGTCCATTTTAGACATAGGCTTATTATATTTACAGCCCTTAATAACATCCATTTTCTGGGCTCAATATGTGTCTTGGCCGTTTTCGTTGTGATTGCTAAATTCCCCTTGTTTATAATAATCACCGGTCCTTCAGCAGGATACTGTAGTGATTACATGTGTGATTTTAGCAAACGAGTGCTTTTGTTTTGAAATCACTTCCGTGAGTTTGGCCCCGCCCCTCGCCCCTCGTACTATTTGACCATTTAGTAAGGTAAGAAGCAAAAAGCAAAAACGCCTCTCAGACGCTCTTCCGTTTACGTGTTTAATAAAGAAAAACAATTGGACGAGAAAGGTGACGAGCATAAGTTTCACTTCCCTTTTTTATTTCAATTCCAACTTTGGTCATGAAGAATATGTTTCTCTGTTGTCCACGTTCATAAAGCAAAACAACAGCATCAGAGCACGGTGCAGAGTCTCTAGATGAGTTTACAGTAGTCCCTCGTTCTTATTAAACATCCATGTTGTAGTCCGCTGTATAGAAAACTGTAGTTTCCATAGTTTCCCCACAGCAGCAGACACACAAAATGACGTCCGCTGGCGCATCATAAACACGTCGAATAGTGAAAGTGCAGTCGGATTCTCTAAAGCACCGCAGTCTCTTCTCCTAAATCCTTTTGAATTCTCCTATCCACTATCCCTTAACCCCGTGACGTTTCACTCCGAGGTCAAGGAATAGGAGATAGGGTTAGAATTTAGGAGCTGATTTTTAAACTATCCGAACGCAACCAAGATCTCCTGCACAGATGGATGGGTCTTATCAGCACCGCACCGGAAGGTAGGGCCCCCATCCACATGCTTTACAGATCTAAAGTACACCATTTACGTGACGCGGCAGTAGCTCAGGCTTTCTTCATTACGTAACTGCGCAACATTGTCTGTCTGTCTGTGGCTCTCCCCTAATAACAAATAGTGTTAAAGTTAAATCGTGCCTTTTCACAACCATGGCTCCATCAAACACTAAGGAAACCGAGAAGCACTGCGTCCTGTGCTGCCAAGAGGTGGATATCTTTGCCTTGGGGAAATGCGATCACCCGGTGTGTTATCGCTGCTCCACCAAAATGAGGGTGCTGTGCGAACAGAAGTACTGCGCCGTCTGCCGGGAGGAGCTCGACAAGGTGCGGATTCCTCCATCACTGTGCCCCGGGGATGAGGGTGCTAACTAGGCCGCATTCTATTGCTAGTTTTACTGTATAAAAAAATATCAACACGTCTATGATAACTTCTTAGCTGGATTCAAACACATTTCTGGTATATGATGTAGCGACAAGCGGTGTCTACCAACTGCCATACTAACATAGTATGCCCTCGCTGTCAGTAGTTTAGCTAAGGTGGCTAACGCTAGCAGTTTAGCTAGTGGTTCTTACCTTGAGATACGTTGAGTTAGCTAAGGTGGCTAATGCTAGCAGGTTAGCTAGTGGTTCATACATTGAGTTAGCTTATATGACACAGTGCTAGTCCAAATGGGCTTATCGTGTTGACGTAATGTAACAGTTAATGTGTGATTCAGTGAACTGTCAGTGCTTTAGCTGGTAGAAAAATGTCAGCTGTCAGCCTGTCACCTCTCAAACAAACCATTGCAGGTTAAATGGCTCACCGGTGGTGGCTAGGTTGCTATTCTGCTGCTGTTTATTTAACTAAATGCTGGACCTTCTTTAAAGGTAATTGGCTTGTGTGTCGACAGGTATCCCATTCAGTCTCGGATACATGTGGCTTAAAGCTAGCTTTCTAGATTTCCGTCACCTGACTGTCATACAAATAAGGGCCTCGATACCCACCACTCCCTTTAAAAGATTCTGTAGCTGTAAGCAACTGGAATAAAGATATTGTGAAATGTTCAATTACAGCTGGTTGTTGCTGTAATAGCAATGTTTTAACTGCTTAATTTAGCAAAGCTTTAAGTGTTCATATATAACTTGTTGGGTTTCATATGGTGACAGCATTCACATCATTCCATAGGATACATTACATAAGATCTTTGTCACAGGAGCAGCATTTACAGTCTTTTTTTTGACAGGGCAATGCAGCTTTATTACCCCTCCACTTTCCCTCAAAAGTGTGTGTAGCATGAGATATTCAGTATTTCTGATTTCCTACTGTCTTGTGATTCTCAGGTGGTGTTTGTGAAGAAACCTGCGGCCTTCTCGTCTCTACCCTACCAGCAGTTCCCCTGTGAGAAGAAGCATGATATCTATTTCTGTGATGAGAATATCTACGCCCAATACAGGTAGGGCTTCTTTTACATTCTTTGTGATTTTGCACTATAATTATTTAAACTAACAGTACTTGTGGGTTATCTGTTGCCACTTTTTTTGTTTTTTTCAGACTCTCTAAATAACCCTAACCCCTAGGATTCATGTTTGTTATTTTGAGAAATGAACAAGTTCATGTGGAGGAGCCTGCTACCCGCAATTTAAAAGTGGCGACAGATAACCCACAAGTACCAAACTAACTCTTGCTTCTAAAAACTGAGTTAGCTTTGCCAAAAACTACACCAATATGTTTTATTTTATTTATTTAATTGTTTATTTGGCAGGGACAATGCACAGTAATGAACACTTAAAACATTCAAATATATCAAGCGTAACAGTGCCAGATTTAGCTTTGAGCTCATTTCCATCCCTCACATAAAACATTTGTCTGCTTGTTGTGTGCTACTAGAGAGGTGGCAGGGAACTGAAACTTAGACCACTGTCACTGAATAGAAACTGTAAAAAGAAAACACTGAAAGAAAGAGTGGCATGAAGTGAAACTTAGAGTAAATGTTTTAGCCCTAGAACATTGTGATGAAGAAAAAAAAGTGTCTTTCATGCCAATATTTACTTTTTTTTGTTCAGGTTTTTCTTTTATCGCCACATTTTATTTTCATTATCTAAAGTCAATCTCCTGGCTTCTTAGAAAACCCCCTCTTGTAATCTCATCTATTCTAATCATGATGGAGGGATGTTTACATACGGAAGTCCTCTAGTCTCTTTTGGCGCGTTTCCACTGCAGGCCTCGCTCGGCCTGGTTATGCCTTATTAGGCCCGGCTCCCTTTAATGCTGCGCTTCCATTACAGTTTAGGAACTGGGGTAGTTACTATAGTAACGCAGTGTAGGCGGAGCCGTGACGTCATCTTCAATGAGCGCCCCAGAAAAACAACACAGCCGTTAGCTGTTAGCACTCAGAGCTCACAGCTCTTCATATCTGTTCAGAAACTAGACAAAAGTTAAACAAGTACAAACCACAGACTGCCTGTGTCATGGCGAATACAGTCGCTGGTTTATTTATGTCTGTATAGGCCGTTGTTGTGAGTGTGGACGGTCGGAGCATATATAAAGTTAGCTTAGCCAATCTCCATTCAGAAAACATGCATTTTAAAAGGGTTTTTCGCCTGCCGTCTGTCTGCAGACTTGTCAAAGCATTAATTCATGGTTTTTACTAACCGGTATCAGTATGTTGTTAATTCGGCATCATTTTGAAACGTGTATTACAATTAAATCACGGTCAAATATGTTCATCTTGTTGTAGTTGTAGCCCCCTTGCCAGCGATTCTCTCTCTAGTTTAGCATACTCAGCCCGACTCAGCCTGGTTGTTCCTGGCCCTAGAACCACGATTTTATGGGGCCAGAAAAACTGTGAATTAGGACCCGCTAGCCGCTACTAGGCCAAGTGGAAACGCAACCAAAAACGGGCCCCGCACGGCTCGGCACGCTTAAAGCGAGCTACCCGCTGCAGTGGAAACGCGCCATTTGTGTGATAGCAGAGCACCATTTCATGCTGTGTACTTTGTATTACTACATCTGCATCTTTTCCCAACTTTTAAAATGTGGTATATTATTTTGTTGTGTGTAGGGATGCTCCGATCGATATCGGCCGATATTCACTCTCTGCCGATCGATCGGTGCTCTCAATAAATGCCGATCGGGAGAGCCGATGACGTAAAATACATGACACTTTTCTCAGTGCGCGGCAAAACAAGCTCGCCAAAATGGCTTCACCAGTCTGGCAGTATTTTAAGGTGTCCGAAAATGACAATAAAATAACGGTATGCAACGTGTGTGAAGCAGAAATCCTGCTGCTCCACCCGCCGGACCGGTGAGCGGATCAACACACACACTAAGAGTTAGACCTAACACACTTAGCTATTTTATCTACTTCTGGAACAAGCTAAACTAGTTATAAATATATTTATTCTTCACTGTCAGGTCACTCATTACTGGATCAGTGAGCTGCATGAGATACTGATGGGCTGTAGAGAGAGAGAGAGAGAGAGAGAGAGAGAGAGAGAGAGAGAGAGAGAGAGAGAGAGAGAGGGGGAGAAAGGAAAAAAGAGCACTCCCGCTCATTTCTCCCGTGTTATTATCCAAATCTAATGTAAACTTGAATAATGTACTTAATTTGAATGTAATAATTATGTTGGTTGTTGTTTGTGGAAGCGCCAGCGAATGAGCTCCATTAACTGAGTTTTAAACATCACTTTAAATGGAAGATCCCCATAGGCCCCGCCCACTCGATCGGATCGGTACTGATTCCGGTGTCTGTACCATATGTGTTCGGGGTACCATATGTGTTCGGGGTACCATATGTGTTCGGGGTCCGTCTCTTACCAATGACGTCACTGACGTCACGCATTGTGATTGGCTGTACGGTAATTTACCCAGGGGTGCTCGGTCATTACATTACATTTAGCTGACGCTTTTATCCAAAGCGACCTAGAGTAGATGATCAGTGGGGCCTTGTTTTTACTGAAACATGATGTTTCGATGTATATTTCCATTGAAAATGCTAACCGCTAGCCGCAAAGCTAGCATCGCAGCCACTGCTCCGTTTTCGGAGACTTTGCACACGTTTTTCACCAACATTTTCACACGCTAGGAGTATCGCTTCGTCTTGGTCTGTAGATGTGATTTGATGTGTCGTGTGTCCCCCAAAAATAACAATCGACAGTGTAAACATAATTATGTAAATAACCCAATTTGTGTTCTGTGAAACGGAAAAGGATTTTACATTGTTTTTGTTACTTTCGTTGCAGTGTCTTAAATGTAATTTAGGTTAACTTCCTGTTTGAAGTTGTTTCTATGGAAACAACATGATGGAGAAAAAAGTAATATCTTCTACATATAATAACGGACAAAGTAAAGAATGAAGTGTAGGCTATGTTTAAATGTTCGGAATTTGACCGTGTATGATGGTCCTCTTGAGTTGCCGTACAGCCAATGCCGTACAGCCGGAGACTTTGCACACGTTTTTCACAAACATTTTCACACGCTAGGAGTATGGGAGTACTTCCATTCGCTTCGTCTTGATCTGTAGATGTGATTTGCCCCCGAGCACCCCTGGGTAAATTACCGTACAGCCAATCACAATGCGTGACGTCATTGGTAAGAGACGGACCCCGAACACATATGGTACCCCGAACACATATGGTACCCCGAACACATATGGTACCCCGAACACATATGGTACCGACACCGGCGATCGGAGCATTCCTAGTTGTGTGTGCAATGTTTGATGTGCAAATAAATGGAGCAGCCAGATACAGAGTTTTAATCTCTGTCAAACAACAGTAGTGAAATGATTATTTGCTTCAACAAAGGCAAGCCTTTGTTTAAATGACTCAAGTCAACGAAAACTAAAACAAACGGTAGTGTGATTGTTATTTGGTCACTCTTTTTCCTGTATGTAAATAACTTTGTTTCCTAGGTCATTTGTATTTGTTGCCATCAGCTCATTTGGTTAGATTTCTGTTTATATGTTTGCTCGACCTTGACACTTATTGAATTGATCTTGGTGTGTCTTTTTTAAATCAGGCATCTGCTGCTGCCAGAGTGTCTCAGCTGTACAGAGCCGAAGGTCTTCTCTAAGTACGAGGAGCTGGAGCACCACATGAGGAAGACGCATGAGCTCTTCTGCTGCAAACTCTGCACAAAACATCTCAAGGTAAACTTGTGTCGTCAATAAGTGTCAAAGAAAAACAAAGAGATACAACCCTTGTAGCAAAAGCAGTCCTGATCAGAATGGATGCAATAAGTAGATTGACATATAGTTGTTATGACCAAATATAGGTTTTCTGGCCATTTTCAACAGCACACATATGGGTGTGGACCACCAACAAGATGATGGCGTATAAGCTGTTCAAAGCTTTGATTAAATGTCATGAATGGGACAATAAGGAACTTTTGGGATACTAAGACACAGTTATTGTTATTCAGGTTCTCCAAACACTGAATCACTGGCTTGTAAATAAAGTACAAACAACCTTTTAGAACATTTTGTTGGCATGTTATGTATAGATTGTCCTGTAAACTAACTTTAACCCATTCCACAGATCTTCTGTCATGAGCGTAAATGGTACAACCGTAAGGAGCTGGCACGTCACAGAGCGCACGGCGACCCCGACGACACGAGTCACCGAGGACACCCGCTCTGCAAGTTCTGTGACGACCGTTACCTCGACAACGACGAGCTGCTTAAACACCTGCGAAGGGACCACTACTTCTGCCACTTCTGTGATGCTGACGGCTCCCAGGAATACTACAGGTGTGTATAGATGTTTCACACACACACACACACACACACACACACACACACACACACAATGTATACATCACACCATGTATACATCACTTCAGGGGACATTACATTGACTTACATGCGTTTCCTGGCGACTTATTCTAACCTTAGCCATAACCAACACATGCCTAACCCTAACCAAGTCTTCACCCTAAAATTAATGATTCCCCTTATGGGGACCTCCCTTATGTCCCCATAAGGGAGGCGAGTCCCCGTGACTGTGTAAACAGATGTAGGTCCCTGCAAGGACCTAATTAATGCTAGGACACACACACACACACACACACACACACACACACACACACACACACACAGGAAGGATTGTGGTGGCTCTGTAGGTCAAGCCAGTTTTGATCCTGTGGTGGAATGTAATAAGTACATTTACCCATGTTATGTACTTGTTCTGATTTCAAGCTACTTTAGACTTCTACTTCACTTCATTACATTCTAGTATGGCAACTTTTACTTGCGTATAAAATCTCATTACTTCTTCCACCCCTTTCTCCTAACCCTGCCCTCAACAGTGATTACCCGTACCTGAGCGAGCACTTCAGAGATAGTCACTACCTGTGTGAGGAGGGCCGCTGCGCCACAGAACAGTTCACCCATGCATTCCGCTCCGAGATCGACTACAAGGCACACAAGGCCGCGGAGCACAGCAAGAACCGTGCGGAGGCTCGACAGAACCGACAGATCGACCTGCAGTTCAACTACGCCCCAAGGCAACAGGGCAGGAGAAATGAAGGTCGGTCAGCGTGTAATCGATCTGTTTTTGAGACTGATATCTATATTAGGAGAATGTATAACGTTGCAATGGAGACATATTTTCGTAGGCTGACCCAGAATTTAGCATCGTAATGGGCTCCCTCGATTAAAAGCAATGTCAATTTCCATTTGATTCTGGAATATTGCTGTATTTTATGTCGTAGAACAAAACGTGAAAATCTCTTTAGCTCCAGAGACCTTATTTCTGGCCAAAAATGCATTCTAAAAACCATTGACTTCAAGACGAGTGCTAAAATGCCAACTCATTTCTGGGTTTAGGACTCATTCCTGCACCCCTCTTATAGTAACTGTGGTTTGAAGGCCTTGAATGTTAAATGTGTGTGTGTGTGTGTCCTTAGGCATGCTGACAGGTGAGGACTATGATGAGATGCGTCAGGCTCGCGGGGGAAGAGGAAGGCTTCAGGGGGGACAGAAGAGCTGGAGGTACTCTCGGTGAGTGCAGGCCCGGACTGGCCATCGGGAGGACCGGGAGGTTTCCCGATGGCCTGGCCTGCTGGCCTGAGGATTTTTTTTTTTATGTATGTATTGTGAACGCAACGCTGCGCAAATGTGGGTCTGCCTCACAGAGGGTGACTGGCTGTCTACATGATGTGGCCTGCCGACATGGCCACTTTCATAGAGATCATACTAATGCCCTCGATTGGTCTCTGTGTGTCATTCAAGCTCGGGAGGGTGTGTATGTCTGGCGCGAGCGAGCGAGAGAGAAAGCGCGCGCACCGGTTACTTGTATTGTTGTTGTTAGCATCTGTTGCTAGCTAGCGGAGCTAACGGATATAATGAGCTGTCAACAAGGTGTGGGGAGAGTCCTCTCCTGTCAGACTGAGAGACTGATAACTACAGCTCAGGGGCCTCATTTATAACGCTGTGCGTAGGATTCACGTGGGAAGGTTGCTTACGTAGTAGAAATCCAAAAAATAGTTACAGAAATGTTCCGACATTTTCCGATTCACAAAACATTGCGTACCGGCGAGGAAAGTGCGTACAGCACTTCCTACGCCAGTTTCCCTTTATAAATCACAATCGACTCGAAATGCGGTGCAGCTTTTGCGGACTTCACGTAACGCCCATATTTGCCTATAAATAGTCAAAGAAACGCCCATTCATTCATTCTGACTGACTGCATGAAGAAGATCGCAGGAAATGACGACAGAACAGCTAAAAAAGACGTCTCACACCGTGTCAGATCTTGGCAAACGGCATAAAACACGATTAAACGTGATGGTATATAAAATCATGCTCGTATCTACAACCTATAGAAATGCAAAACGGCGTCAGTTTAGACGTAATTCTGTCCTCCTGCTCACCGCATCATTTATGAGAAAACATTTCATAACATTAACACAACATATTCGAGGTGGTTTTAAATAACATATCCGTATTTATTTATTTCTCCAAGTTATGTTTTTGTGCACTGAGGAGTCGCAAACAGGCGTTTGTTCAATCATTTTAAGATTGGCTTTAATCAATGTTTGATAAATGAGAGGTAACATTTTATTTATGGTATTATTTCTCTCCATTCTTCCTTCTGCCAACGGTGTCGCAGTTTCTCGTCTCTCCCGTTTTTGTGCTTAGTGCGTACGCATGGGTTAGAATTTGCGTGGAGGGCCGCACGTTTTCCCGTCAAGTTAGTATTTTATAAATCGTAAACATTGCGTAGAAACTGGCGTACGCCATTTTTTTTGAGCGTATATCCCTTTATATAAATGAGGCCCCTGGTGAGGTAAAGGACTCTGAGTGTTTAGATAGTTAACTTAGTCTAAGTTCAGTGGGTCTCAAACGGTTTGGTCACCTTTATGTAAACACATATTTCCATTTGAGGGGGGAGTGATTAGTAAAATATGCATGAATAATAAAAAAAAAAAAGTTAACTAGGTGAAAAAAGGCAAGATAAACTTGTTGAGAGCTAAAACTAGTCTTTGCTGCTGCCTCAAAGAGGAGCAGGGGGAGAGGGGGGAGACAGGTGAGGCTGATTCAGGAGCACAGACACACTCACAACTATAAATGAACCAAAAACAAATAAACAAGTTTCAATGTTTTTTCATATTGGATATGGTATGTTATTGGTTATGGCCATGTTCTTATGATTTATTTAAATGTACACAGTTCTGTTTCATATGGATCTAGTCTCTTTATTTCCCCCTCAAAGTGAACCAGATTGATGCATTTAAGTCCAACATTTAAAAACAAATCTTACCGGGGGCATTTTTTTTTAATAGTAACCCATTCCATGTTTATTCTGGGGTAGTAGATTTAAAGTTTAGGGCTATCACTATGGGCAGCCAGCAACGCTGTAAATATTGACAAATACATCCAGGAAAATGGCACAAAAGAAAACTGGTCGTGGCCTGGCTGGGTGTATAATTCCCGGCCTGACATGTTGTCCCAGTCCGGCCCTGGGTGAGTGTCAATCAACAATGCTGCCTTTGTTGTTTATGACTGTACAGAAACTTTGCATCTTATTTTATGAAAACGTAGCACTTTGCTGTCCCCTAAAGGCCTCACTATTGCATCTGATACCCTACCGTGCAAACCATAAGCATGGTTGTACCAGTCAAATTCCAATCAGTTTTTTGTCCTTTTTGGTCTCGTATTGTTTTTTTTCTATATATATGAACGTGTGCTTGTTCCGTGCAGAGAGGACGAGGACAGGGATGTGGCGGCTGCTATGAAGGCATCCATGGCGACGCGTCGGCAGGAGGAGAGGGTATCCACGCAGGATAGAGGATCCATGCACGAGAGAGGAGGAGGCATGCACGAGAGAGGAGGAGGAGGAGGAGGAGGAGGAGGAGGAGGATGCACGAGAGAGGAGGAGGAGGGATGCACGAGAGAGGAGGAGGAGGAGCGATGCACGAGAGAGGAGGAGGGAGAGGAGGAGGCATGCAAGAGAGAGGAGGAGGAGGAGGAGGAGGAGGAGGAGGAGGAGGAGGGAGAGGAGGAGGCATGCAAGAGAGAGGAGAAAGGATGCAGGAGAGAGGAGAAAGGATGCAGGAGAGAGGAGAAAGGATGCAGGAGAGAGGAGAAAGGATGCACGAGAGAGGAGGAGGGATGCACGGGCGAGGATCCATGCACGAGAGGGGAGGAGCCATACATGAGATGGGAGCCATGCACGAGAGGGGCCCCCCCAAAATACCTCAGAGAGGAGAGGGCGGAGAGAACAGAACCAGAGGAGCCCAGAAACATGAGCGCACAAATCAAACCACCAGGTGAGAGACGGGAAATATTCAAAGTATGACTACTAGTTCATGTCTGGGGTGTGTTGGGTTTGGGCTTTGGCCAGTGGTGGAAGAAGCATTCAAAACCTTTACTTCAGCAAAAGTTCCATTCTATCGATATCAAAGTAATCCTGTCTAAGTTACAGTCCTACATTTAAAGTCTCTCAAGTCAAAGTACAGAATCAGCCAAATGTGTGTGTGTGTGTGTGTGTGTATATGTATATGTATATATATATATATATATATATATATATATATATATATATATATATTAGGGGTGTAACGGTATACGTACCCGTACCGAAATTATTTGGTACGGGCCCTTCGTGTACCGAACGAATATAACATTAAACGTAAAAAATTGAGAACGTGAACAACTTTTTGGAAGTAATCGCAGGTGCTGCGTCGCAGCATTCAGAGTAATTTGCTCACATTGGGTTCAACGAGTCATATAGCGGCCAAGTCATTTCATTGGACGAGAGGCATACTAGAGAGCTGGTCACAGGGATGCGTTCAAATGTAGTCAGTAATTTGAGGAACTGTCGAAATGGCCAACGCAGATAAAGTTGAGCTCGAAAATCCTGGCAATACATCAAACTTGCACACTCATTTGAAAAGGCATCACCCGAACGTGAATATCACCGGTACCACAAGAAAAAAGACTGAAGTGCAAACCCAACTCCCGCTAGCATGTAAGCCTCCACCACTCGCAGAGAGTTCAGACCGAGCCAAAGCTATTACAAACGCCAAATATCCTTATGTTGCCATGTTAGCAAAGCGCTACCTGGCTGTGTCTGCTACCTCTGTCCCTAGAGAGGGTGTTCTCCACAGCAGGAGACATTGTTAGTGCCAGCAGATCTGCCCTTTCAGCAGCAATGTGGACAAGTTCATCTTTCTTTAAACAACATGAAAATACAATGACAAGCAAGTCATAATGTCAAACTGGCTGCTTAGGTACTAGTACAGTTCAAGTGCAGATTATTTCAGTTCATCGAAATGCTGCACCTTAATGTTTATTTTTATTAGATTGGGGGTCCGCGGGGTCTTAAAAAGTATTAAAAGTTAATAAATCAATTTAGCGAAAAGAAGGCTATTAAAAAGTATTAAAGGGCATTTTCCAAGGTATGACATTTTGTAGCTTGTTTTCAATAAGTCTATAAAGTGTCCAAAGAGGTTGTGTTCTACAGTCTGCCTGAATGTAATCATGGCGTAGGTGTGTAGTGTGATTCTGTGTAGTTTATTAATGGCATCCCGTTGGATTTGACGTCATCTGAACAGGACATCGCGCGCTCACTGCTTGATAGCGCGCGAAGCTCCGTTTACGCCGGTTGTTAAACAACATCGTTATGGAGAAATGCAAGTCTGCGTCCAAATGGTTGGAAGATACGGAGGAAGGACAATCCATACTGTATATAGTCAATGTGAGGTAAAGTGTGTCGCCAAGGTAACCGGTTAAAACTCCAAGTGGCGATGAGGTCTTAAAATGTATGGAAAGGGTCTTAAAAAAGGTCTTTAAAGGTATTACATGTGACTTCAGGATTCCTGCATATACCCTGGTAAAGTACTCGAGTAAAAAGAATATAACAGCAGCAGGAACACTCACTCTCTGTTTTCTTTTACAGTGAGAACAATGAAGAGCGATAATCCAGGCGACGGAGAAGATGACTTCCCAGCGTTAGGAGGCGGAGCTGCCTTAACAATGTAATTTTTACATTGACGGAAATCCTCATCATACAATATATTCTACTGCAATGTAACATTTCTATTATCAGGGTTCTTACGGTCATTAAAAACCTGGAAAAGTCATGGAAATTCACAATGCTAATTCCAGGCCCTGGAAAAGTTCTGGAAAACAATATTTTTCCCAAAGTTTTGGAAAAGTCATGGAAATGTAACTAAAGTTGCATCAACTATAATTTATATTTTATCTAATCGCTGAAATAGTAATACTATAATGATGATAAATATCGTATAGTAATGAAATGTAAAATGGCATTTAACTGACGAGGTATTTTGCTGGTGAGAGATTTGAGTTGCTTCAGCGTGTAGAAGCTAGTAAGCCTATCTGATTTGTTTTAGATAGGCACGACATGTTTCATATGCACACCTTATTTTCCTGTTCCATGTTAAAATAAACTATTTTCAGTGGCACCGCTGAGACGGAGTAATGTTTTTGGTCATGGAAAATAGGGTAAAGGTCCTGGAGAAGACATGGAAAAGTCATTGAAAATCATTGGTGAAACAGTGTATGAACCCTGTCTTGTGCCCTTCCAGTGTGAAGCCAGCTCCTGCGACTCTATCGACACCCCGTGCTGCTTTGAAGGAAGACGACTTCCCGAGCCTCTCGGCCGTCGCTGTTTCATCGCCCATGACCCCGGCTTACTCTGCACAGCCTAAGAAATCTTCGTCTTTCCAAGAGGAAGACTTCCCCGCACTCGTGTCGAAAATCCGGCCCCTGAGAAACGCAGCCGGCACCAAATCTGCTTGGTCCAGCCATGCCGCTGTAGCTAAACCCGCCTCCCAGCCTCCTCCGTCCTCCAGACCTTCCCCCCCTCTCTCCTCCGTCCCCTCCGGCCCTCAGCTCCTCTCCGCCTCCTCAAACTCTTCACGCAAGAAAATGAAGGTCGGTGTCAAATCCGCCTCCTCCCACTCTCCTCCTTCTTCGGACGACGAGAAAGGAGCAGTGAAGCAACAGCAGGTGTTCCGCTCGGTGCCCACCATGTCGGACATCTCCTCTCTGCTCACCGTTAAAGGAGGCAACAGCAAAGCCCCCACTGTGACCCCCCTCCCTCCAAAACACGCCCCCACCCCTGAGCCTCCTACCTCTAAAGCCAGCAAGAAGAAGAAGCAGCAGCAGCAGCAGCAGAAGACCAGCACGGCAGCTCCCTCTGCGCCCGTGTCTTCAACATCGGGAACAAATCAAACGGCGAGTGTAAAGTCGGTGGAAACGGCCGCACAGAAGGAGAACGTCCCCGAGAAGATCCGGAACAAACCCCCCCCCTCCACCGCTGCTGTGACGGCCACAATGACGAGTGTATTGTCTAACGGCCACCAGGAGACATCTCCCCCGGTCAGTAAGAAGGAGGCGGTAGCGGTGACTCCTCATCCCAAGGTGGAGCTTCCTCTCGATCAGGAGGAAGACTTCCCCGCTCTCATGACCAAGAACCCTCCACCAGGTACAACACTCAAATATCATTCTATATTTTTTACTTTGTTTTCTTGCTACGACACATCGTACTTAACGTATTCACTTAAAGTCAGTTATTGTGATCATCCTGTAGCGATAGAAGCAGTGTAGTCAAAATGAACCTGTAGATGAAAACGATTAACCAGGGTAAATAATTCATTGCCTTTTTCTGCCACAAAAACTTATCGAGGGAGCAACATTTAAGTGATGTACGTTTTCTTTGGTCGAATACAGAGGCCTGAGAATTTAAAGCAACTTGTTTTTATATATGTATCGACTGTTAGTCGCCTGAAATGCAACTCAAGAAGTCTTGCCTAACATTTTACTGAAGTAATTGCTATTATTGCTATTATTATTATTGCTATTTGAGTGACCGAGATCATGTAAGTGTATTTCAAGTGGACTATGTATTCATTTATTGAGCTGTATTTAAATCAGGTTTTAAATTGTTTGACTGATAGAGATCATGCAATGTTATTATTTGTTTATTGATTGTTATGAAGCTGTCTGAGGACCACAGATGGAAATGAGCTATTAGCTATAATATATAATCTCTTTGCTGAGATTAATGTTTTTGTATGCATGCTCCTTCTATAAATAAATACAAAAAAATGATATGGATCAAACATTAAAGTAAATTTGACCAACAAATTCTTATCCAAGCACTGTTTCGACAAGTGTATATAAATGACACCTACAAAATTAAGAGACTTTTAGCATATTTTTCTATTACATGACTAATTTGTTCTGAACATCGACCCAGGAGTGTGGCGGATAGCTTCCAGAGAGTTCCTCCACATTGTGCAGGAGTTACTTTCTGCCCCAGAGTGAAGCTGTTGCTCACAGTGTGTTTCTCTCAGGCTTCAAGTCCTCCTTCAAGTCCTCCTTCCCGATGAAGACCTCCGCTCCGGCCCCAGCCTCCTCCGCCATGCCCCCCCCTCCACCCGGCCTGGGACTCTCCGCCACTAAACCCCCCCCGGGCTTCACTGGGATCCCCCTCAACAGCAACGTGGTGGAGCCGGCCCCCACTGAAGTCAACCCGTGAGACATTTACCCTTTTGTTTTTTGTAATATGTTTTATTGACATTTGGAAGCAAACAATTACGGTGTTTTTTTCAAGACATTGTAATTGTACATCTTAAGTTCGTCTGTCCGAACATTAGGGAGTGATCAGGACTTCACAGTGAAATCACACGTTTGTACAAATTATGAGGTTTTACGAAAGCAGTCCACTTTCTCTGACACACATAGTTCCAGTTTGTGATTGACAGATGTTATCCTCTCCATTTTTTAAATATCCATCCATGCGTTTAAAGTTGGGCTATCTGGTGATAACCACTTCCTTGTAAGAGCGAGACGTTTACTGTTTTAAAACACGATCTCTTAGTTTGTCTGTTTGACAAAGACTTTGTCTGCATTGGCCTTGTGCGTTTAGTTAATGATTCTAACCCATATATATTCTCATACCCCAGGCCCACCAAGGTGCAGAGCAGCGGTTACATGGTGCCGGAAGATTTCCACGAGAGGAACCTGCAGCTGATCGCGTCCATCAAGAAATACCTCTCCAACGACGAGTCAAAGTTCAACCAGTTCAAAAACCTCTCTGCACAGTTCAGACAGGTACAACATGATAACTTGTATTTCTATGAATAATTATAACGACAACAGTCTAATTTTGTACGGCAAGATTATTCATATAGCACATTTTAACACAAGGCAATACACAGACTGTTCCTCATCCGCCACACTTCATGAAAACCAACCAATGCTTTAAAGTGTTGGTACCGCCACAGATATACAGCAGTACCACAGTTCTATGGTAATGTGGTAGAAACTTCACTTAAGAATTTGTCCACATAAAAACATGTTAAGAGACTTAATGACAAAACAGTCCTATCCTATTAAAATGATAAAAGTGTACCTAACAATACTGTAACTGTAAACATGATGCATGTTCTTATTCACATCCATACAAAAAGATCTATAAACGCATACTAACAAAGAACTGACATGTACAAAAGGTGGTCACAGGTGTTATTGTGTCTGTTGCTCTAAAGCTCGCCTTATTCTGTGCTTTAGTAATCTGATCTGTAATCGAGTTCCATGAGATAAGATGTACTTTATTAATCCAAACAAATCAAGGCATTGCACAGAAATAGAAATAAAAGTAAACCAGCATTAGAGAGTTAAAAGAAATGTACAGATGACCGGGAAGCAGAGTTCCCGTTAGAATATTTGTTCGCCGATCAACATGTCCGTTAAAGTTTCAATCTTCCGGACAAAATGAGAAAAGTGCCGGTCAACGGTCTTCTTTGTTATTTATTGAGCTTTAAAACAAATTGATATGATTCGATATTAAACTAATTATAGTAGATTAACTACATTATTCAAAAGTGTTCAGTAACTTACAATAACACGGGAATAATAAACGGAGCGCTCTCTCTCTCTCCTGACAGCCCGTCAGTCTCATGCAGCTCGCGGATCAGTAAGTCCATATCGATCAGATCTAGCTCGTTCTAGCTAATGATATGACTACCTGCTTATTAAAAGACACCTAAACAATAAGCGTCGCTATGCAACCGGGTGAGGCTGCAAAGTATAGCGCAGCATTATGCATTTGTTTACAGGCCCACCGGAACCCCGAGGCATTACCAACAGATCAACGCACAATCAACCCATCCAGGACATCTCTTTCTCCACATTAAGTGTTAGACAAAAGAGTGGGACAGACAAGAATAGTCAATTCTAATGTCTGTCACATACATAGACTATATATAAATGGACGTAGGGTCCGTGACGTCACCCGTAGGATTCTGCAGAGTTTGAGGCGTCCCGGCTGTTCCCCAGAGTTTGCAGCTTGGTCACATACTATTCTTGTCTGTCATATAAGTGGCGCAACTGATGAGGGGAAATTATTTTGACCGGAGAGATTTAGATTTGCCGGTCTTCAGCATATTTTACCGGTCATAGTCCGGTAATTACCGGCTAGCGGGAACTCTGCCGGGAAGATAACAAATATACACTGTCTGACAAATAAAAAAAATCACTATTGAAAGGATGCAACCATAGTTCGGGTACTGTGCCTTATTTTGAACGTTTTCTGGATTAGACATTGATGTCTTCCTCACCCTGCTCCTCTCTGTCTTCCCAGAGTGTGATCTCAGCCGTGCAGTACCACAGCAGCTGTAAGGAGCTGCTCGGGGACGACTTCCACCGCATCTTCAACGAGCTGTTGGTGCTGCTCCCTGACACCGGGAAGCAGCAGGAGCTCCTGGCGGTGCAGGGCGACTGCCGGGCGCTGGAGAGGCAGGCGGGCGCCGGGGGGGTGGGGAAGAAGAACAAGAACAAGAAGAACGCCTGGCAGACGCCGAGCAGCGCCGCCAACGTCGCCGCCGAGCTGGACTGCCAGGTGTGTCCCACGTGCAGACAGGTACTGGCCCCTAAAGACTTCAACTCCCATAAGACCTTGCACACGGGGGAGGCTGAGGAGTTCCCTTCCTTGCAGTCAATCAGCCGTATCATCAGCTAGCCCCTCGTGTTTCCTCGGCTCCGTTTGAAATTGCGGGGAACATTCACCCCTGCAGTAGTCCCCACACTGAGTTTGGGGCTCATAACCAGTGGGGGATTAAGACGGTTTATAGTGAGTTGCTTTCAAAGGGGATCATTTTTGATAGTTTGAGTGAAGTTTTCACAGTTTAAAAACACAGAGTTGCCCCATCTCGACTCTTATTTCCACTCCGAGGACGTCTCCAGCTGGCACCGGCAACGTCCAACACGACTGTCCGTTTTATTTAACGAAGCCTTTACTTGAATCGCTCGCTAATAAAAAAAAAAATTGTACTGATTTACATTTTTTACCTTGCTTTGAGCTCTCACTTTCTGATTGAGTTTGTATGATTCCCCTGCGGGGCTGCTTGGACAAATAACAAAATAAACACATATGTTTCGGTTTAAATATTTAGCACCATATTTATTTAAGTGAAGCTGCTGTTCACTTGCTTTCAACTCTTCGTTGCTTCGTGCGGAGGAAGGACTGGTGTGTGAGTGAATGGATCGTGTCGGAGTGTGAGTGACGCTGAGCTGCTTCAGGACATGATCACATTTTACATTTTTAAATGTGTACCAGTTTCTTTATATACATTTCACATATTTGGATGTGGTTGACTGGTGTTGAAAAAGGGTTCGAATGTAAACTACATTTCACTCCACAATTAAATGGAGTACGTTATTTGAAGTAGTACAAATAATACATCTACTCGTTGACACAAAACAATAAAGGATGTTTTTTTTGGTTTATGATTTATCAAGGTAAACATTCATGATTTAGAATATATTTATATATGTTAAAGAGGATATCTACCCTTGTTTTGTTTTTTAATGAAGCCGTTCGAATCATTTTTTTAAACTGGGACTTCTCGGCACCACAAGTGATTTATTCAAATGTCTTTTTTACTGCGATTTGGATATTGCACTCGTCCAGATTGGATTTTGATCAAATATCTATTCATTATGCAGCCCTGGTATGCATTATTATTTATCACGACGGAATCCATAGTGCTTCATGATGTTTGCAACACAAAAGCAGCTTCGTCATCGTTCACAGCCTTCACTTGAATTCCAGCTTCGGCACACTGGGTTTGTTTACGCTGTTTGTTAGAGGGACCGGTTACTTCCTGTACTAATATGTTCATCTTCTCAGGACTTTCACTGCGACGCCTGTGTGTGTGTGTGTGTGTGTGTGTGTGTGTGTGTGTGTGTGTGTGTGTGTGTGTGTGTGTGTGTGTGTGTGTGTGGTGTGTGTGTGTGTGGTGTGTGTGTGTGTGTGGTGTGTTGTGTGTGTGTGTGTGTGGTGTGTGGTGTGTGTGTTTTTGTGTGTGTGTGGTGTGTGTGTGTGTGTGTGTGTGTGTGTGTGTGTGGTGGTGTGTGTGTGTGGTGTTGGTGTGTTGTGTGTTTGTGTGGTGTGTCTGTGTGTGTGTGTGGTTTGTAAAATTAAAGCTCTTCTGCCTAGCACTGTGTTTCTGAATCTTTGTGTGGTGATGGGAAACAAGATGGATGGTCGGATGTTTTATGCATGCATACATTTCCGCCGTCTTTATATTTAAGCTACGTGTTTTTTATATCGAGTATGTGTTGTGCTTACAATGCACATTATGCGGAAATAAATGTATTGTACCTAAATCGTACTCTAATAGAACCCAGAAGCCCATTGTTCTACTTTCTCTTGAAATGTGGACAGTTTTACATTCAAGCCTTTTAAACAATCTGTACCTAACTCGGTCATTTCTTATTGTTTTCACCGTCGTTGGGTGGAGTACATTTGCTTTTTTCACATTTCCCAGACCGTGATATCGCACATTTTTCTTCAATTTCGGCACAAGCGTCTACTTGGTTTCAAGGATGAACTGATTAGAATTAGGCTGATTGAAGGCTAATGTACTTTTTGTTACTTGTTAGACGCTTACTTCCATACTCAATACTGTGGGCAATCCCCACAGGAGCAATTTGGGGTGAAGTGTCTTGCAGGGACATGCTGACTGCAGCGGGGTTTGAACCTGTGACCCCCTAACACCAATGCATTAGTCCACTGCGCCACAGCCTTCCAGGATTCTTGCTTTTTTAAGTTGTTACCTTCATGGTAGATGGCACCTTGGATAAACATTGAATGTAAATCAAGCATTCGTTGATATAAGTTCAAGGTGACTGAACTAACAAAACCCGTTTTCTGTCATACGCTAATTATGATATCATTTGACACGCATGTCTAGAATTAAATGAGGTGATAACATTTGACAGACGACGTGGGTGAATAGTCAGAAAAGGACACAGAATTCCATACTGCTAAATGTGACTGGATGCAAAATGACATCCTGGTATTTTTTGGCATCCTGCAATTTATACTTTTCTGGTATATTAAATAGTACTCGCACCGCAGAATGTCGTTCTGCATACGCTAATTGTATTAATGTAGTGCTATCATCTTCTTTTCAGCGGAGCAGAAGCTTCAGTGGATGTTTAAGTCACATGTTTAATTAAGTTGTTTTGATTGCACGTCCACTTCAGCCAAACATTTGTCCTAATTGTCTTTTGTTTCCACTCACAATTAAAGACAGGTGGATAGAAACCCACATGTCATGTCACACATTGTTATACGTTAATTTAAATGACAAAAACTCTCATTTCTTCACAGGTTAAAGTCAGTGGGCACAAACAGGCAGTCCAAAACATGTTTTCTTTTTTATTCGAGTGACGGTCAGACTGCAGTCCAGAGACATTCAGGCAATAGACAGTGACACACATCTGTACACAGCGCTTTACACTGAAGAGGTCAAACACCTGTTTAAGGGGGGAGCACGCTACAAAAATCAATGTTTACTTATCTGTTGATCAATGTGGGGGGGGGTACATTTGTATTATCAATATAATGTGGGGGAGATATTGTAACATCCATGCAATGTATTGTACTGGAAACCACACAACTGATGGCACCCGCGTTACTACAGATCATAACCTTTTTAAAACCTCAGTCCAACAGAAACGACAGCACATAAAACTCTGATTTTGGCGCTTTCAAGAGTGGTCAAAGTATTTCCAACAAAGAGTGCCTTCTAGTTCATAAATAATCATTAATATTGTTTTTAGATTTTTTTATTAGTACAGGAAAAACCATACCCTAGACAGCGTCACACACAGGTTCCATTTACTTCAATAACGTACTGAATTTTACAATCAACCAATACCACGGTAGTGTACATGGGCCAGAGCACAAAACATAGAGAATGCTGCCGTTATTTTTTTTATCTAACACACTGACTGAAGAGACTAAAGCACTGAAGAATATCACATCCTGACCTGACGGTACCCCCAACTACGTAATGGTGTTACCTGAAACCCCCAGTCTCACCTGACCACAGTTAACAGGTTATACGGAAGATTGAAAGAACTGTAAATCGTTTATTAGCATATATGTTCATGCTTGAAGGATTATAACTTTAATGTTGTGTCAGAGTTTCATTATTTTGACGTTTGAGCAGCGTATATTTGAGGGAAAAAACAAGGCTAATAGCTGCTTAAAAAGGGAGTTGTAATGTTGAAACATATTGTAGGAAACTTCAATGTTGCACCATTTCCTAAAACAATATAAAAGGAAATACTAATGTGTACTTAATTGATGTATTTTCATTTATAACGTGTACTCGCTTAACTATGTGTTCTTCTAAAAACTTCAGGGAGTAATTGGTTCTAATATTGAAGATAAAAGGATAATAAGACTTTAATTTGCACCCTTTCCAGAACACCTGCTCACAGGTCAATCTTAATGACTAATTATTAAACCCTTATTACCTAGAACAAACACATATTTGCCTCATCCATTTTCCTTAGGACCACATCTGTACTCTGCATCGTTACTTTATAATGTTTGATTATCATTTATTTTGTCGATAACTCTTTTTATCAGTGTACATTTTTGGGGCTTAATCTGAGAGCCTGTTCTTTGTTGGCACACGTTGGTGTAGAGTAGCCTTTTCTACGAGTGTACACTTATTTGGATTACATGTAGAAAACGGAGCCTGAACTTTGAGTCGTTTGTTGCCCTACTAAGTTAGGTTCATGGCTGCAGGAAATATGAGTTTCAGTCAGTATTCTAGTACAGTTTCACCCTGGAGCTCAAAGTGTACGTGTGACCAACGAGATCATGAGGTTTACGTAACGTCACTGAATAAACGAAGAGCTGTGTGGTCACAATTCTGAACTGTGATTATTTTAACACAAAAAAGGAATCCTGCCGGCTGCACTGAAGGCGTGCGATTCTCACTTTTGCAAACCAACCTAAGAATGACATAGTATTCAATATATAATGAGATCTATACAACAACTTCATGCATTAGTATCATGATTATAACTGCAAACCCCAGTTGTGCGCTCTGCAGGTCAATTACATCATATCGTTTTATATTTGGCTCTTTTCATTAAAAAAAAACACACACTTTGTAACTCACACACCTTGACAGTGACACTGATAATATATCTATCTAGCAGAAGGACTACCTTTATTTTGGGGAAATGATTAAATGTGTGTAACAGACTTATGGTTTCCTCCTCTGCACTAAAACTTTGACACACACACACATGTTCAAGAAAATAACTTTTTCTGCACCACAAAATCTAATTAACTACACACTCACACTTGTCACACACACCACACTCTAATGCATGCTAACACACGTGCACATGTTGTTGCACGTGGATGCACACCACACACACACACACTACAGATTGGCGAGTGAACCACGACACAGACACACACACACCGACATGGTTGGCATGGTTACTATCTACATCAGGGCCCAACGTCCACCCAACCCTGTCACCATGGCAACAAATCCAGACCCTCCCTCTTTCCTCAATGGCAGGATAGCAGGATCAGTAAATTAGCCAGCTAGCGATCCTTAACCTCCCACACACACACTTTTTTCTTTTAGCCTGAGACTGCACTGACTGAACCCCGCCAAAATAAAAGCCCATCCTGCTTTGTGATTACATTCCTATAGACATCAACGACATGGTAGTTAGCGATAATAACACAGGGCAGTTTGGCAGCTTCTAAAACGTAAACATAAACAGACCTGACTTACCCAGAATCCCCCCAACTCGCCCCGATTTATACACACACACACACACACACACACACACACAACACCCGACATATGACACTGTCTCAAATCACAGTCCCTGGTACCATGGGATATCTTTGTAGTTGTTTTAAGTCTTTGTTATGGTTGTTTAATGTCTCTGTAGTCTTTTAATAATAGTTGTGTGTCTCTTTAAAGTCATTGTGTGTCTTTGTAGCTTTTACTATATCTTGTAGTTGTTTTAAGTCTTTTTTATGGTCTCTTTGTAGTCTAGTAGCTGTTTTTTATTACTTTATTGTAGTTGTTTGGGTATTTTAATGATCGTTTTGTGTTTCTTTGTAGTCTTGTTTATGGTTGTTTAATGTCTCTGTCGTCTTGTGGTAGTTTTCCAACTCTTTGTAGTTATTTTGTTTATTTGTATGGTTGTTTTTTGAGTCTTTTAATGTTTCTTTGTAGTTTTTTTTATATATCTTTGGAGTTGTTTTGTGTATCGTCGTTGTTTTAAATCTCTTTGTGGTCCCTTCGTGTGTCTTTATGGGGGGATTTTTACCGCATTTGTTGTTTTGTATGTTTTTGTACAATTCAAGTACCAGTATGTAATTGGAGACAGTGCCTATCATTGGTCTAATGACGTAACTAGTCTACCTACAGTACAGTATATACCTACCTACAGATAAGATGTGAGATATTGCACTTAGTCACAAAACATCGTCGTTGTTTTTTTACAGCATGTGGAAATCTACTAAATGAAGTCACTGTCTGAGACGCACAGTACAGTATGGCACTTAGTTGATTTCTAATTTAAGATACATGCAGATTGAACACACAGGGTTACTGTTAACTGCAGCAGGGAAAGAGGAAGGAAAGACCAGACCGTACTGTAAGCTAAACAAAAGGATGAAGGTGCTATGTGAGTGTTTCTGCAAAAATGTTTGATCTAATACTGCTTTGTGGTGGAGTCACTCACGTGTTGATCCCTTCATCTCTTCATCTTGTTGTTCTGCTCTGATTTGCAAAGTTTAACACACACTTCAAAAAGACTTCAGATAAAGCTGGAATGTGTTTAAGGAAAGAAAAGTGAGCAAGAAGAAGGAACAAAGGAGGAAAGGCCGTTTTTTTCTCTCCAACAATTACTGAAAACTCAGCCCAGATAAACACATACACAACTGCAGGTGTAACATCACAGAAAGCGAATTTCATATCACTTTCTTCGTATCCCTCACCCCTGAAGCTACTCTTCCTCCATCAGGTGTTCCTTATCTAGTAAATGGGAACCTGGTATGTGGGCGCTGCGTTGTTCTCGGTGAACGGCGGGCTCTGGTAGGTCTCTGAGGTCTCGGTGGTTTCGCCCACCGGTGAGTTGGAGGGGTACGGCTGGGTGGGGGCGCCGCCGTCCATGTGCTCCGTGGTGAACAGAGTCATGTCTGTGCCGAGCAGATACTTCTGGACTGCACGGACTGTGAGACCGGCCTGCAGGGAGGGGGGGGGGGGGGGGGGGGAATAGATGGAGACATATTGAAGGTCACCCATTATACTGTTTTTCATCAATATATTATAGGTCTCAGATATATACTAAACATGTCTCTGAAGTGTTTTGGGTTACCTTGGTTGCTGATTGGCTAATGGTTACACAAGCCAAAAAATCGTTATGCCATAAAGTGGGGACACATGGTTATTTATAAAAGACATGTAGATATTGTATAATAGGTGACCTTTAACAACTCTAGTCGGTGCATGGACGACGGTGGCTGTGTGCTCGTCTTTCAATCAGAAGGTTGTGGGTTCAATCCCTTGTCGATGTATCTTTGGGCAAGATACTTAACCCCAAGTTGCTCCCAAGGACACGGCTGACGAGTGTGTTGTATGATTGTTAGCTTACTTGATCAAAATGGCACATTGCTTAAATGAATGTGGTGTGAATGTAAAGCGCTTTGAGGGGTCGTAAAGCCTCACTAAAGCACCCTAAAAGTACAGTCCATTTACCATTCACTAGTCAAAGTACGCCAGGCAGAATCAACAAAGCCACGTTTTCACAGCCAGATCACAGTTAGACGCGTTAAAGTAGTGTCCGAGCAACTCTTGCCAGAAACAGATGACTTTTAAGAGTTCATGGATGGCTTCTCAAACAGCTAACAGGCTCTGGGGCCCGGCTGCTCAGGGGTCAACTCTGGAAAGTCTCATCACTCAGTGAAAGTGTGCATGACCTGCTCAACATTATTAGACATATAATATAGAATAGATACATTATATTGATATTGAAATATCAATGTAATGTATCTGAGGAGAGTACGTAGAGAAAGGAGTGTCACACCCTCTTGTTGTCTCTGGGGAGACATTCAGGTGCAGTTTTAAAACAACACAGCTGAAGTCATGGTTGACAAGATGTGATAAAAATATGTTAAAATGGTTTTCTCTCTATAGTTAGGAGGGGGCTTCCATGCATATCTGCCTGGTCTCATAATCAGCCCTGTTCTCTGCAGTCCTCAGGGACAAACCTGGAGGTTGTGAGGTTCAGGGTTATTTTTGATGGTTCGGTGAAGGAGAGAGCATGTCAGTCACCGATTGGATGGTTAAAGGATGGTCTGCACTCAATAACAATAACCCATATCCCAGGGGGAGCCAGATTTTGATTGTGGGCCATAAATAAAAAAATAACCGTAGTAACAGGCCGAACAAAAGTACTTCATTGTTCTTGACAAGTTAGACCGCAAGAAACAATGTTTCTAGACCAGAAAACCCATAACATTTTCCACCACACAAAATATTAAGTGAATCTAGAACAAAGCCAACATTTGTTTATGTTCGTGGACCAAGCACTCATGTAAAAGATAACAATCTAAATGTATAAGCTGTGTATCTGTAAGTCTAATTTAAAATGTTAAAAACAGAACAGGAAGAAATTGAAAAATGAGTTTCCATGCCAAGAGGTTAAGACTGATATAATCTAATTCTAAGTTCACACTGTGTACAGTATGTGCTGTATGTATATAGTGGCATGTTCTTACCCAGGTGATTATGGAGAAGAAGGAGAAGGCGATGGCTGCCCGGGCTGCGTCCGCCCCCTGGTTGAGTGGCAGCTCGTCAGCCGTGGTTTGAGACCACTGATTGGCCAGGAAGCAGAAACTTACAAAGTACAGGAAGGCCCAGAAACCTGCCAGAAACCAGCAAGACAGAAACAAGCCGTTACAGCAGAGAGAAAGGTAAACTCCACGTAAACATGAAACACCGTCTGCAGCTGCTCTCAGATCTGAGCCAGCAGAAGCAGTTATTTGTTCCTCATTTCTCGAACATCTTTTATCTAAGTATCATTTTTCTTGATGTCTTGTGTTTCAAAAACGATCTGAAACAAAGAAGTGGGCCTACTTATTTTGGTCATTTTGGGGAAACCCAGTCTATTTAATCCTTTAATCACAAGTTGACTAAGAAATCTCCGAAGTACAAAGGCTGTGTCTTGCACTTCCTGACTCTTTAGAGCACACGTGTCAAACTCAAGGCTCGGGGGCCAAATCAGGCCCTTGGTGGATTTAATTTAATTATTTTTTAAATACTATTTCTGGCCCGCCGGTATATCGCACGCACACCTTCACTCCATCCTGAGGGTCTCCTCAGCTCAGAGCCTGAGCCCAAACATTGATGACCTTGCACCCAAGATGAGATGCCAAGTATCTGAGCTAGCATCACAGAGCAGCACACTGAGTTTCAATGTTTCCTTCTGCACTTTCTCTCAGGACAACAGGGCATGTTTGGTTTTCTCTTTGAGGGAAATAGTTTTGTTGAAGCTGTTGTTGGCCTGTGGGAAAATGTACTCCTAAGAAAGGACTCTGGAAAAGCTGCAGATAGAGCCATAAGAAATGAATGCAACTGATTATTTAATGTTGTTTTTATAGGCAATCATTTAAGCTTTGTTAGTTCCAGGTTTAATATGTGCAATAAGTTCATTTCAATAAGTTTTGCAATAAACATTGAACCAGTCCGGCCCTCGACTAGGACCCATTTTAAAAATGTGGCCCACTGTGTATTTGAGTTTGACACCCTTGCTTTAGATGAATAATAAAAATAGGACGAAACTTGAAAAGCATTCAGCTGAAACAAAGAATCAGGCCTACCCTTTTTTTTTTTTGCATTTTGGGAAAACCCAGCCTTTAGATTTTTTCAAACACAGACTAACTGAAATATCCAATGTTCAAAAGCTGTGTCTTGCAATTCCTGAATCTTTTGAAGGAAGTAATGGACCCTTATCATATCGACTCTGTTCTACCTGTGTAAAAACAACCTGACTTGACTTCCTTCTCACCTGAGAATCCGATCTCAACCATGATGGCCTTCTTCCTGTCCTTGACGGAGCTGATGGAGGCGAACTTGTAGTCGAGCAAGAAGAAGAAGGAGCAGGCCAGCAGCCCCACCAGGCCCACGAACACGCCGTAGTTGCAGGCGTCTGCGTTCTTATTGAAGATGCAGTGGAGACGCTCGCTGCCCATGTTGACATAGCCCTCGTTCACGATGGAGGCGAAGACCACCAGGGAAAATATCTGTGGACGGGGTGGCAAGAGGAGGAAAGATTGAGAAGAGGAAGAAAGGTATAGACATGTGAGAGGAAATGGACGAAGATCAAAATCATTAAAGAGGTTTATGCTTTTGGGGGTTTTCCCTTTCTGTAGTGTGTTCCCTCCAGAGGTAATTTCTGTCCCACACAACCCCCCCCCCTCCTGCCTGAAATGCCTCCATTGGACTACTTTGTGTACTTCACTAACACAGTGACATCACTATGTAACGCTCGCACTTCAATTGGCTAGCCCTCTAACACATTGTACATGACAGGCTAGGGGGCGGGCCATCTGTAAGCAGTTGACCAATCTGAATAGAGCCGGCCAGCTAACCAATCAGAGCAGACTGGGCTCTGGTTTCAGACAGAGGGTGAAAAGAGGTGCTGCAGCACAGGCAGTGTGAGAGATATAAAGAGCTTTTTGAACATTAAAGCATGGAGACATGTCCCAGTAGAGACTAAATACACATTTGAAAACAAAAATAGCATAATAGCCCCCCCCCCTTCAACATATGATGTATTGCCTAAACAATACAATTATTCTCTAACTGTGTCTATTGATGCAGGCTCACTGGATTTGTGGCAGCAGCGTCTCGTTGAGCGCGCTCAGACCAAAAGCATTAACCTAATTTCCTCTCTTTCTCTCTGACTGACCGAAGACGTGGATGCTTCACTTCCCATCAAGAATCACATCGTCCTGAGGCGGTGTGTGTATACAAAACAGGAAGTGCGATAAAGGTTGATATATAGCTCATGCTTTAACCCCTTTTATTCCTGTGAGTTCACCCTATGTGTATGTGTATGAAGAACACCCTTCTTCAGGTCTGATCTCTATATGTATTTCTTTCTACCTCTGTTCTGGACTCACCCGCTGACACTGATCAGCTGACTAACACTGGGTGGCAGAATAGGGCCATGTGACACACACCACACACACACACACACACACACACACACACACACACACACACACAGACACACACACACAGAAATGCACTCACACTTGGGGGTGTGCATCACATGATGATGGAGAGACTCACAATGGGATAATGTCTGGTCCACATTTTAAACATCACATGTGTGGATATAATCTGAGCAGACACACTCAGGTGCTTTTAGTGAATCGACATGCATCAAAGTAATGTATCTCCAAATGGAACGGCAAACTTTCATTGATTTCTTGGCATGGTTTTAAAAAAACAATTTTAGGCCTATAAGAAAATTCTTCTTTGTTGAATATATTGACCACAGTTTGTGGTATTCAGCCTACTACAAGAGTCATTTTCCTTATGTGTTTCTTTACTTATTTAGTCTTCTTACTTTCCCTTTTATCTTCTCATCCTCTTTACATTTAGATTTCCTTGTTCCTAAATTATTCGAGAATCAGCTTTATAGCAAAGCTGGAGAGAGCAGAAGAGTCTTTGTAGCCAGAAAGTACAGGAAAGAATTGCACTAAGTTATAATATAAGTTAATTGCACTTGTGAGTTTTCAATTTTGTATTTGCTTTGACTTTTTACAGCACTGGATTCAGCTGCCAAAGTGCGTCTAAAATGAGGTTTAAAAAGAAAACTACATCCACGCAGCTTCAACAGTGAAATGGTTATTGTGCTATATTGCATTAGTATTTACATCACATTTTTGTCATTGATACAAATACTTAAGTAACTCCACAGCTTTCTGATAAAAACATAATACTGAATTTATCGATAGGGGTAACGTGATACACCGGTATTGACCATAAATGTGAATGATCTATTATTGTTTCATGCTCACACCAACACTGTTTGGAGATGTTGAGGCTGCAAGAATGTCTCAATATTTGTATAGATATCGCGAGATTACCCATATCGTGATTTATTTTGTTATCACAACAGCCCTAATCGATACTATTGGCACATTTAGCTAATTTTACTTGAGTAAGATTATAGGCTATACACCAACAAACAACAACATAGGCAATTGGACTTTAAATCACAATATGGTATTCAAATATTGACGTATAGGCATTGATATGTCCTCTCAAGGGCTCGGTAGTAAATCATAACCGCCTGGTCACTATAGAAACATCCAGAATAACATATTTAATATATGTGTACAATACATCCAACCATAGGCTCTCATTCAGATGTACAGTAATTAGCTCTTGGACAGATGCCCTCTTCGTTGTGTGTTTCAGTCAATCCCAGCACTGCAAGGAGACCTTCTCCGTAGAGGTTTCTCAATACTCCCCTCCTTGACTCCTATCCTCGAGACTTAGTGCCGCCCACAGGAGATGTGTTACATCCATAGGTTACATCAAACGTCAGCCGCGTGTCCGTGGCCCTGCGTGCGTAATGAAGAGCGCGGACCAATCACAGGTGGGAAGACGGACGAAGACCGTTTAGGGTAAAACAGCAAAATCATTAGCTGGAAATATGATTGGCGTTATAAAAAAACGATGGTGTGTATCGTCAATAACAGTTTTTTTTATTATAAAGGACAATCCATGTGAAAATCCTAATGGTTGACATTTAAACCAGGAAGCAGGAGGATGGACAATTAGCCTATGTTTTGTATATGTCCTATACAATCCGCGTTTGGTCTACTGCACATGTTAGTATTGATTGATAAAGCACTACCAGGCGAGATTTTTCCAATAAGAAAAGATGAGGAAAGGACGTTTTCCACCATGATAAAACATCTGTAGTGAAATCAGTTTCATGGTCAGGGAGTCAGACAGACACCAGGCCTTGGTTACACCCTGTACGATACATTTCTATGTGAAAAACATCAACATATACCTTCATTTCCATTGTACGCACCCTGTTTATCCATTATCGAGTATATTTGCAGTGGGAACACGTCAGTGGTTTCGCGCAGCGGCGACAGCACACACACACACGAATCCACACACACACGAATCCACACACGCGCAAACACGCACACACTAACAGAAGCAGTGCCTGGGGGAAAAACAGCTCTCACCCAGGACAGCACTCTGAGGATGGTCTGCGGCTGTTTGGCGAAGCTAATCGGGTCGATAGTGGACCCGGTTCGGCCCGCTCCGAACGATCCCACTCCGTCCATCTTCTCTCTCTCTCTCTCTCCCTTTCTGTGGCTCCTCACTCTGCAGGATGGATGAGCTGCTCTGCTGTAGGGACGGGTCCTGCGCGCTCACAGACAGGCGCGCAGGCACAGAGGAGGACGCGGTGACTTACGGGAGCGTGCGTAACTGGCGACGTGACCGAGCTATTGAGACAGTTATGGGGTTAATCATAACAGAGGTGGGAGAAGTACTCAGATCTTGTACTTAAGGTATCAGAGTGTAGGAATACTGTGTTACCAGTAAAACTCCTCAAAATGTTCCTCAAGTAAAAGTACAAAAGTATTAGCATCAAAATATACTTAAAGTACAAAAAGTAATAGTACTCGTTATGCAGATTGGCCCATTTCAGAATGTTTTAATTATAATGATTGATCATGAAAGTGTTCCCAAAGCTGGTAAAGGTGCAGCTAGTTTGAATGACTTTGTATTCTGCAGGGCAGCTTGTGGATTTACTCCAGGTGGAACTAAAGTCTGATTTAAGAGTTGTTTATATTTCACATCATTAATACAAATCTGCAAAGTAAAGGTAAAAGTACACTATATTTACCTCTGAATTGTAGTGGGGTGGACGTATAACGTGACATACAACGAGTTAATTTACTACACCTCTCCAACATGGAATATAATAGTGTATAAGAATTATGTTCTAAGGGTTATACATAAGAGGGTAACCGACTTCCACTTGGGAAGAATAAATAACAAGGAGGTTTGTATTAACAAAATGGACTTGCGGCTAGAAAAGGATTTAGTTGTATGCTTCTATAAAGGTGGATGAGTCATAAGAGACACATACAAAACAAATTTGTGAAAATAAAAGCCAAGACTTTTGTCAAGTTCTAAAAACATTATAGAAAAGAAATATCCATCTAAATATGAGGCGCAAAGAACTCAAGCACCGTAGACCAAAAACCATATACTGAGTGAAATATCCTTCATGAAAAAAGGCATGCAGAAAAGTCTCATGATGTTAGCTGTGCCAAATACCACAACAGAGAGAAGTCACATGTTGCTTATCATGGGATAGTTTCATTTACTGTGACCTCAACAATGCCCATTGAGTATAACCCTAAACGGTCTCTTTGTGGAATGATAAGCTTCTGTGCGTTGAAATACACTTCTAATTGTGAAAATGCAGCTGCCATTTTCACAACTAATGTTGTACTAACATGAATTGTTTTATGGAATCTGAAATACACACATGGCTTTCACCACTAGAGGTCACTGAGGTCTCCTTCCAAATTCAATATCTTAGCAGTAATGTTAAAGGGGCCCTAATGCTCATTTTCTAGTTCATATTTGCATTGTTGTTATGCAAATATGATGTTACACAAGTAAATATTTCAGGCAGGGGGGGGGGGGGGGGAGTGTGGGAGAGACACTCCCTCTGGAGGGAACTTTAGCCCTTGCAGACCATTTACATGCACAAAAACCTGTAACACACATAACACCAGGAAAGGGAAAACCAAAAAAGGGCCCCTTTAAAGAGAGGATATAAACACATACTTGTATACAAAAAAAATGTAAGCCACAGTTAAGGATGGTTGAGTTGTGTGGGTGTATGTGGCACAAATACTAAAGTCATTTTTAGGATTACAAGTGAAACCAAGCGGCTGAGAGTTGGAGTTGTTGGAGTGTGTCCTCTGGTTCCTTAAGATTCATATTTAGAGTGTTTATTAATAACACACAACAGATCAGGTCACATGGCTGAGGTTCTGATATCAAAAGTCACATGTTTTAATGATACATTAGTCCACTAATCCATTGTCTTATTGACCAGAGCCCAAAGTGTGTCTTCGGATGTGCTTATTTTGTCCAACAATCAGTCAAAAAGCAAGTTATAGTGACACAAATAAGAGAAACACCATGATTGATCAGTTTTGAGAAGCTTTCAATCAACAAAATATATGTATTTATTCTTATTTAAATACTTAAAGGACCAGTGTGTATGATTTAGGGAGATTTATTTGCAGGAATGGAATATTATATTAATAACTTTCTGTATACTTTTCCTTAACCTTGAAGGAAAGGATCAAGATGTCAAGGACAGATGTGTAGGAGGATTCATAAGGACTTAGCAATAAGCAAACTAAGTGCTAAGAGAGAGAGATTGTACTTTCACAAGGTTATGTAAATATGCGATGGAGGATAATTGACGAGTCTGTATTCACCTAAAATGAATACCATCATATTTCCTCACATTCAGTGAGTTGCAATATGCAACCTCGCCACTAGATGCCGCTACCTCTTACACACTTAAATTATCAATGTTTACTCATTGCAGCAGAAAATAATGCAAATAAATGAACATACTTTGCACGTATCACACTTTACATCTAAACAAACTGCAGTGAAAAATCAATCTAATAATCAACATTAAGTAAAATATATATATATCTCTGAACAAATATATATATTCAAGCTTAGCCCACAACACAACATTTTAATGGATAAATACCTTTGTAAATTACTAACTGCTTCAACAGACAAGTCAGGGCTAAATTGGATTTACATTTTTCAATAAACAGTTGTATCGCACACTTTTAAAACTCATTACTGGAATAAACAGCATGTTTAGTGAATCTTTGTTTTACTTTGAGTATTTGTTATAACCGCAGAAACAGAAAGGGATTTGTGTCACTAATTTTTGTTACCTGATCAGTTATATTAACTGACCACAAAGCACACATTTGAAATGGACCACATGGCCTATCTATCCACACGTAAAGTTTCTCAACATTAGAGAAATGAGCTCCAAATTGTTGTGCTCCCACTCAAAGTTTTGCACAGGAAGAATGTCTCCCCTCAGTCCTCATATTTCTTATTGCTCAGTCACAGGAGCCATCTTTCCATCCGTCTTTCCACCTCTCATCCACACGGGAGCAGTCGAACTCAGGCTTTCCCAGCCGGACGTTGACGCCATTGTGAATATTACAGAACCACTGAGAGAGAGCGTGGCGACTCTTGGTGTCCGGCTGATTGGTTTTTAATCTGTGGAGAGGAAATGGAGCATTTAGAAATAGCTTGCTCTTTTAAAATAACATATTTAAATGTGTCAGCCTGTGTATTGAATCTTAAAAAGGGACAACTTGGTCTGACCTGCCCCTGAGGTCTTCTGCACATTCCTCACAGGGGAAGAACTTGGAGAAAAGGTTGATGAACTGCCCCATCTCTTGCTGCTGGGTCGACGATGGTTTATCGGGGTAATACGCTGCCATGGTGTGCAGGAAGGACCAGGTGTTACGCCCTAACTCTCCCCGGTCCAGCGGACACTCCTGTTGTGGCTCCAACTCTGCAGCTACGGTCTCCTGGAGAATAATAAAGAAGAGTGAATTAGCTGGTATTTCAAAAGGGAACAGGCCCGATATCCAGTTGCATGATGTGGTTTATGTTGATTTGTGGTTACATGTGCTTAGCTCATATCCGTTGCAACAGGACCAGAGCCTGAGCAGAACATTTCTCTCTTGGACATCAGGATCAAAAACGTAATTGATAATAAAAGTGTTGGTCCCAGACATTTCTTTAAAGTATCGATTAAGGAAAACACAATTCAGAAGACAGTGAAAATGTTCATCCCGGGTTCTCAAAGTCCAAGAATATGTCTTTAAATGGCTTATGTCAGTCCAAATGTAGTCAGTTAAATATGATATATAAGACTATGAGCGGAGGTCATGATCTTAATATTTAAGAGGCTGGACACAGCATTTTCTATCACATTGCTTAAAATATGTATTCTTTTATCACATTTTTCGGTCAATTGAATAACTGATTATTTAAAACTAAATGGCTCTACGGCACAGTGGCTCCCAAATGCATTACAGGATGAGCATGGGACATTACATCATGAAATAACAACTTTCATAAAGCTCATAGGAAGAACACACAACTCTAACAAATTGACAATTTAATATAAAATAAGTCTATCTTCTTGTCATACAAACTGTACTACAGTAAAACTAATATGACTATACAGAGATATTTCCACCATTGACTTCACCTCACCTGTACAGGAGTTGTAGTTTCTGTTTTATGGACTTTCATCCAGGATTTAAAGTCCGTACAAGCCCTGCATGGCTTCTTCTTCGCACCGGTCTGCTCCTGCTCTTTACCGGCGCTGTCCTCCGGTGTTTTGGGGGCCAGCGCGAACGGGAAGCCTTCAAACCCGGTCCGGCTGGATGCTGCTCTCGGTCCTGTGGGCGCAGCCATGTTCTCTATATATATTACCTAATTACTCCGAATGACTTGTAGATACAACATCAGGAATGCACGCCTGATAAAATGCAGTTACACCGGACCAGACACATTATTAATACTTAACTCCACCATGCAGATAATGCCACGGTCATGCGGTGCACTTCCCGATAGATGTAAGCGTTAATGAAACACGGGTCCAAAAAACGCGAGAGAGTTGAGTTTCCTTGCTTCTTCCGGAACCTTAGGGGAACGGGACGACTTCCGGTTGGTGATGACAGTTTTTTGTGCATGCTGCGGAGTGTAGCCCCTTTCAAACTGTAAATATCTATCAAAATATAACATGTTCAAGTGTTGACATTACATGTGTTTCATGTGGGTATTCATTTAAAGCTAGATATGTTCATGCACTGTTTTAAAGGGGGTTGTCTTCTGTTAAATCACACTGGTTAGCCGTGTAGCTAACAAAGCTAACAACTGTGGAGTGACACGTTTTCTGTGTTCTGATACTTTCTCTGCTTTACAGTTGTATCACATCTGAACCGCCAACATGGGAATCTTGGATAAAATCGCGGAAATTGAGCGTGAAATCGCTCGGACACAGAAAAACAAAGGTAATTAAGGGCACTAGCCGGGCTAACTGTTAGCTACACAATGAACGGACTTGTAGCCATTACCCACCTTTTTAATGACACATTGGTTTATTGTAATGACAGTTTCAAGGAACAATATTGCCTAAGTATCAACAAATAAAAGTACACAAAGATATACGTCTCTCTCTCTCTTTCATCTCTCTGTTTGTGTGTCAGCTGCCAGTGTTGTGTTACTCATTAATCTCACAGAAATGCAAGGAGTTTGTGCTAATTGACACCGTTATCTTGATTACAGTTAAAGTGCCACCACACTTAAAGAAG